GGGCTGCTGTCCCGAGACCCGCGCGGCCAGAGCTCTAGGGCCGCGAGGGGTGTTTGCAGGGCCGCAGTGGGGGCGGACGGGGAGCCCGAGCGCCTGGCCAGTCCCCTTCCCCGCACGGCCGACGGTGCGGTCGTCTGAGCCGCCTTGGCCCAAGGAAGGGCGACCCAGGCGATGAGCGCGGGCTGCTTTGCGGGCCACTCCACCCGCAGCCAGGACGCGAAGGATCGCACGGTTACACACGCACGCACCCCGCGGTGACTATTTTCCGCCGCCACCACGACTAGGTCTTAGGAGCGTCCGTACCTAGAGTGCAACCCCCCTTATCCGCGGTTTCGCTTTCGGTGGTTTCCTTTACCTGTGGTCAACTGCAGTCCAGAAAACATTAAATGGAAAATTACATAAAAACACCATTCGTAAGTATTAAATTGCGCACTGTTTTGAATATCGTGATGAAATCTCCAGTCTTCCTGCTCTGTCCGCATTGAGAAGTGAATCATCCTTTTGTTCAGCATATACATGCTGCGTAGACTACACAGCTAACAAGCTCCTTGGTCACTTAGTAACCTGCTGCTTAGTTATCAGATTGACTATCTGATGTTGCAGCATCCCAGTGCCTATGCTCAAGGAAACCTTACTTACTTAATAATGGCCCCAAAGCCATTCACATAGCTTTTATTACAGTATATTGTTATTATTGTTCTATTTTATTATTGGTGGTTGTTAATCTCTTACTGTGCCTAATTTATAAATTAAACTTTATCATAGGTATGTATGCTTAGGAAAAAAGTTTGGTTGTATCTATGGTTCCAGGCATCCCGTGGGGGTCTTGGAATTGATCTCCCCTCGCCTCCCATAAGGCGGAACTACTATAATTCCAGTTACTATTACATACTATGATAGACCCAATCGTCGTTGCATTAGAAGATAAAGATAACGAGGAGATTATTATCTGGGCTCTAGAGAAGTTAGACTAAAGATGTGAAGCCTGAGAAACCAGTGGATTAAAAAAAAAAATCTGTCCCCTGCGGGAATTACTTTTTGTGTATTCCTTACTCTTGAAAGTATGGGGTAAAGGAGTATTTTAGATAATAATTTTTAGGATAATAGCATGCTTGTGTATTGCTGCTGGGGATTTAATGTCCCCAAATTTATTTTTAAAAATTATCTTTAGCATCGCATTATTATAATTACTCTTTGAAGATAAACTGATAGGAAGGGCACTACACAAAGGGGCATTTTTGACACTAGAGGGCACTGGTATTTTTCCTAAGAGAAAAGGAAGAAAGAATACATAGCATTACACTTGATTTTTGAGGCGGATTAACGGAAAGTAGCTGTCATCTCCATTTATTCCTGTAGAAATGATGATAGAGGTGTATGAGTGTGTATTTCATCTCCAATCTGAGACCCAAAGTTACCTGAGATTGTAGCTTTACTCCATATATTGGGTTCACATTTTTATTATCCTTTGGCCACTACTAAAAGTATTTATATTCATTCTTGTTCCCGAAAGGATTTAGGGCAGCCTTCCAGATACATACAACATAGNTATATTCATTCTTATTCCCGAAAGGATTTAGGGCAGCCTTCCAGATACATACAACATAGTATGATAAAAGACATTGAATGTAGGTGAGGAAAATGAGGAAAAGAGAGCATAAATATGGGAAATTATATAGAACCAAGGTGAATTTAATCACAAAGCGTATTCCATCAAATTCTGAACACTGCTGGAAATGGGCTGCAAATTTGGCTCTAAGCCAGTGTGGGAAGAAGGAGAACACTTATGGGAGTCTCAGCATCTAAAATAGTGTTTCCTAAGCCAGTAATGTAGGAACTCTGCTATCATTGAAAGTACTTTTTTGTAGATCTATAGAATTGACTTATAATATTACTATATATATGCATAAAACTAGATACATGCTCCTTATGCTGCTAGGTCTTATACAACTATAAAATAAATTTATAGACAAAATGACTAGAAACAAAACTATAAAATAATACATTACCTAACAACATCAAATAATGGAACAAAAGATGTTTAGCTGAAGTTAAATTACTGCTTGGAATGTGAGTATGAAACCGTGGATAAGGGGGTGACTACTGGGCAGAGTAAGAAGAAAAGTCTCTCAGCAAGAACTCTGTGAAATACTTAACACCTTTAAGAGCCAGGTGGAGGAAAAGGAGCCCCCAAAAGAGAATGAGAAGGACTCTCTGGACATAGTAGAAGAATCAGCAAAGACTGATGGGAGTCAAAGAAAGAGAAAATTTCCAAAAAGGAGGGGGTCCCCCAGAGAGGGCAAGAAAGACAAAGTAGGTGGACCTCATGAAAGCACTTTAAGAAGAATAATTCTATCAGAATAATTCTGATAGAAACCAAACTATAGGGGATTGAAGTCTGAACAGAAGGTGGGGAATTTTGGAGACATAAAAACTTTTTTCAGAAGGTCGACTGTGAAGAATACTCTATAAAGTCTTAGTAAGTATACTTTTTGATGACTGCATAATTGTTCATTTGATTGTATTACTTTCATGTGGTTTGTGTTGATTAGAAATTTGTTTCCTGCCCACCAGCATGACTCAGCATGGATCTATGACCCCGGAGATCAAGGTTGGATTCTGGTCAGGGCACATGCTGGGGTTTTGGGCTCAGTCCCCAGGAGGGGACATGCAGGAGGCAGCCGATCAGTGACTCACTTTCATCATTGATGCTTCTCTCTTTCCCTCTTCCTTTTGCTCTCTGAAATCAATAAAATATATTTTTAAAAAAGAAATGTTTCCTTTTTATTTATTTTTACCATTTTAAATAACTGTGACAAACATATTTAGATATACTTTAATTTTACACTTGAATCAGTTCCTTAGGCTAGATTGTTGGGTCAAGGAATGTAAACGCTTTTAAGATCCATCAAATCATTTTCTGGGAGGGATACACTTATTTATGTTTTCCCACGAAGCACAAGAGAGTCCCAATTTCATTACTTCCTTGCCATAACTGAATTTCATGATTTTAAAAAACATTGTTACATTCCTTACTAAAGGAAACCAGGACTCCTTTGAGAACTGATTCTAAGCCTGGGATAAAGATAGGTCAAGATGAGCTGGTATATTTTAGGGTCAGAAAGTAAGGAAGTAAAGATGACCAAGGCATTCGAAATGGACACAGGAGCTAGCTCAAAGGTGCTCTCTCTGGGTAAATCAGGGACACCTTCACCATCAAAATGAGTAGTGGAAGAAATGAATTATAACATAAATGTTTATAAGTCCCTATTGATACTGTTAAAAGATAAACTGAGGCATGTCTTATTTAAATAAGAATTGGTTATTGCTAAATGCAAAGTGTTAGGAGCTCTTGGTGGTTGGTTGTCCTTAGGTTTTAAATTTATAACCTTGAGGAGTTAACAGGCTTAGGTTTGGGTTTGCTTTCTTAGGCTATTAAGGCATTAGCGCCACCCCAGTTCAATGGCCTCCTTGTTTAAGTAATTTAACAATACTAATCATCATAGAGGAGTATAACATAGCATCATTATAATAATAGTAAATTCAGCAAGAATCATAAATATGTGCTCTGACAAAAGTTTTTGAGTGTATTTACACAAAATATCTATAGTTGAAATTCATCTGGAATTAATTTTGATGTCTGGAATGAGGTAAGAATCTCAACTAATTTCCCCCTCCAATGGTAGCCAGTTTCCATCTCTTTTTTACAGAAATTAAACTATAAGCTAATACAGATACTAGATTGTAAGCTTCGTGGAGATATGGACTATGTCCCGTTTACAATTTTATCCCACGTGTCTACTTAACATATTGCTCAATGAATTGAGAAAATGCTCCAGAGAATGGGAGTTTTGCAGCTTATTTTATATATTAGAATAAAAGGAGGAGCCATAAGGAGTGTTACGTGAAATCCATTGGTGGTAGACTAAGCAGGCGAAAGAAAGCAAAGGGAGGGGGGAAACCTTTGGGACTGGGTAAAAATTAAAACAAAGAGACACATACTTCTTTCACATTGTCAGGTACGGGGTAGTTAATAACCAGCATTTCCAGTATGTAGAGTTGGCATGGGGGG